TTTTATAGAGATGAAAGAAAAGAATGCCTTCCAAAATATTTTTGCAATTGGCCATCTTTACAAAAATTTAAAGGATTGTTAGCTTCAAATCAAACAAGTATTCTGTGTAAACTTGCAAAATTTATTTATATAGCAAATAAAAAACGTACCGGATGATATACTTTATTTAGAAATATGTGTTAGTTACTTATTTCAATGATCATGTATTTGTATTTTACAATGTAGTCACGTGAAACTAATTGATCTCATACATTGGCCTTTTTATAACAAGAAAAAAATGATAACATTATATGGCACTGAATTCACGTGCAAAATCAAACTAACATGTATATCATGCATATGACAGTAAAGTATCCACCAATCGACAATCAACACGATAATGTAGGTCAGTGTATCAAATCAATTTTCCTGTTATTTTTGGTTTTTGGTGTTGTGTTTTTTTCGTTACTGTTTATGTTTTATATAAACATTGTGTGGGATATATGTCGATATAGCGATACTACTATATACACATGCTATTGATGTATTAATGTTAATATATGTTGATAGAATGATACTAATGATATACACATGATATAGATGTATTAATACTCATGCTCTTCTCATGTTGTATGTAAACCGCCGCAAATTGAATGTATGGCGATGAACATTTGTATGTTTATATCCCTAATAAAACCCAAATGAATTTGAAATTTAAAAAAATTGTTTAAATAACGGCCATGTTGTTGCTGTTGAGATAGGAATTATTCCTCCCCAGGGTACACACCAGCTGGGCGAGGTAACGGAGCTTGAAAAAATTCTTATTAAATATTCTTCCCATGTTTTGACATTTTGATTCACTCTAATAAACTTGTTGGTTTTTCTTTTGGTTTTTTTTCATGGAAATCAATGTCATTTTATCCGTAACTTTTTTATTTGACAGAAGCGTATGAATTTACAATTTCATTTATAACGGTGAAATAGCGTCATCCTAGGCAAGCAATTTCATTCATACAAATGCGTTGAAACGACGTCATTTTAAAGCATACGGCTTGTCTGGTAACCACTACAACAAATATTTCCGGATTGGAATTATAAAGATAATATAAAAGGCCATGCAAGTTCCCGACGGAATGTTGTTCCGTATATGTGTCAAAATGCAAATGAGGGGTTTAATTTTGCTTGTATATATATGATACAAAATTAGGCAAAGAATAAAACGAACTGTTTTCATTTTAATTACATTTTTATTAATATATGTTATCACAGTCATAACAAAATTTCTTTAAAAAATGAATATGTTTCCATAAGTTATTTCTCATTTACATATAAATAAACAACAAATATATGTTTTGCATTATGCTTCACAATGGGACATAAGTCTTTTCGGACTAGAAAAAGGCATAATATGTAATGTAAGACATAAATTGTCTATCAATGCATCTACATACTTGTCTGACTAAATACGTGCTTTACATACTGACCTACATTTAAAGCCATGTGATATGACAGACACGAGCATGCGTAAAATTATTTAATGGAACCTCTATCTCAAAACATGTAATGTCACACACACTTACATATTTAAAAAGAGGTTACAGAATTCACTTTTTATTAATGTACTAAAACACATGTCATGGTATGTATTTAACTAAGGTTTAGTAAGAGAAAACAAAAATATCGGTTCACGTACAGAATTGACTGCCTAATAATGTACATGAAACATGTTTTATAAAGCGAAAAACGCGCATTTGTCGATGCACGTACAAAACTAGAATTGGCTGTCTAACTGTCTAACACTGTACTTGTTGCATGTCATAGCATGTGTTTTACTAAGAAACTTAAAACACAAATATCGATGCACGTACAAAAATGACTGCCTAAATATGTACTAAAATGCAGGGATGAGTTTTACTTAGAAACTTTAAAAAACAAATATCGATCGCGTACAGAAATGGCTGCCTAACAATGTACCAAAATGCATGTCATAGCATGTGTTTTACTAAGAAACTTTAAAAAACACAAATATCGATGCACGTACATAATTGACTGCCTACTAAAATGCATGACATGACATGTGTTTTATCCAGAAGCTAAAAACACAAATATCGATGCACGTACAGAATTGACTGCCCAACAATGTACTAAAATGCATGTCATAGCATGTGTTTTATTTAGAAACTTCAAAAACAAATATCTTATGCACGTACAGAATTGTCTGCCTAACAATGTACCATAATACATGACATGTGTTTTATTCAGAAACTTAAAAATACAAATATGGATGCACGTATAAAATTGACTCCCAACAATGTACTTATTGCATGTCATAGCATGTGTTTTACTAAGAAACTTAAAAACACAAATATCGATGCACGTACAGAATTGACTGCTTAACAATGTACTAAAATGCATGTCATAACATATGCTTTACTTAACAAGGAAACAAAACGATTCACTTACAGAGTTGGCTGCATAACAATGTACTAATATGCATGTCATCTCATGTGTTTTACTAAGAAACTTAAAAACACAAATATCGATGCACGTACAAAATTGACTGCCTAACAATGTACTAAAATGCATGTCATAACATATGCTTTACTTAACAAGGAAACAAAACGATTCACTTACAGAATTGGCTGCCTAACAATGTACTAATATGCATGTCATAGCATGTGTTTTACTAAGAAACTTAAAAAACACAAATATCGATGCACGTACAAGATTGGCTGCGTAAAAATGAACTAAAATGCAGAGATGAGTTTTATTCAGAAACATAAAAAACGAATATCGATCGCGTACAGAAATGACTGCCAAACATTGTACTAAAATGCATGTCATAGCATGTGTTTTACTAAGAAACTTAAAAACACAAATATCGATGCACGTACATAATTGACTGTCTTACAATATACTAAAATGTATGACATGACATGTGTTTTATTCAGAGGCTAAAAACACAAATATGGATGCACGTATAAAACTGACTCCCAACAATGCACTTAAATGCATGTCATAGCATGTGTTTTACAAAGAAACTTAAAAAACAAGTATCTTATGCACGTACAAAATTGACTACCCAACAATGTACTTACATACATGGCATGTGTTTCATTCAGAAACTTAAAAAATGAATATGGTTGCACGTGTAAAATTGACTACCAAACAATAAACTAAAATGTCATAGCATGTGTTTCACAGAAACAAATTTCGAATGTACTTACAAAGTTGACTGCCTAACAATGTACTAAAATGCATGTCATGACAGGTGTTTTACTAAGAGACTTAAAAACACAAATATCGATGCACGTACAGAATTGACTGCCATACAATGTACTAAAATGCATGACATGTGTTTTATTCAGAAACTTAAAACACAAATATCGATGCCAGTACAAAATTGACTACCCAACAATGTACTAAAATGCATGTCATAGGATGTGTATTATCAAGAAACTTGAAAAACAAATATCGAATGTACGTACAAAATTCACTGCCTAACAATGTTCTAAAATGCATGTCATGTGTTTTACTCTGAAACTAAAAAAAAACAAATTTCGAATGCACGTACAAAATTCACTGCCTAACAATGTTCTAAAATGCATGTCATGTGTTTTACTCTGAAACTTAAAAAAAAAAAATTCGAATGCACTTACAAAGTTGACTGCCTAACAATGTACTAAAATGCATGTCATAACATGTGTTTTACTAAGAAACTTAAAAACACAAATATCGATGCAGAACAAAATTGACCGCCTAACAAAGTACCAAATTGCTTGTCATAGTATGTGTTTTACTACTAAGAAACTTAAAAAAAAAAAAATATAGATGCACGTAGAAAAGTGACTACCTAACAATGTACTAAAATGCATGACATGACAGGTGTTTCACTAACAAACTTAAAAAACAAATATCGATGCATGTACAAAATTGACCGACTAACAATGTACTATAATGCATGTCATAGTATGTGTTTTACTAAGAAACTTAAAAAAATTGATGCACGTACAGAATTGACTACCTAACAATGTACTTATTTGTATGACATGTGTTTTATTCAGAAACTTAAAAACACAAATATCGATGCAAGTACAGTATTTAGTATTTACCAAAGTACTAAAATGCATGTCATAGCATGTGTTTTACTAGAAACTTAAACTCAAATATCGATGCACGTACATAATTGTCTGCCTAACATTATTCTAAAATGCATGGCATGTGTATTTTTAGGAAACTTAAAGAAACAAATATCGATGCAAGTTCAAAATTGACTCTCCAACAATGTACTCAAATGCATGTCATAGCATATGTTTTACTAAGAAACTTAAAAAACAACAAATATCCAATGCACTCAAACAAATATTACAGGCACGTACAAATTTACTGTCTAACAATGTACTTAAATACATGACATGGCATGTGTTTTACTAAGAAACTTAAAAACACAAATATCGATGCACGTACAAAATGGACTCCCTGACATTGTACTAAAATGCATGTCATAGCATGTGTTTTACTAAGAAACTTAAAAAACAACAAATATCCAATGCACTCAAACAATGAACTTAAATGCAGGACATGGCATATGATTTACTAAGAAACTTTATTGACAAATACCGATGCACGTACAGAATTGGCTGTCTAAAAATATACATGTATGCATGATAGGGCATGTAGTATAATACATGTATCCTCAATATCGTGATTATGGTATAGAATGATGAAAATCTAGTTTTGATATGTTCTAAAATTTGGCATGAATATTTTGTTGAGCAAATAAAAGTAAAATTAAACTTTTGATATAAAAAAAACTAAGACAAAAGGATAAATATATGGCAGTAAATAACTTAATGAATATATTTTGGATTATTTTGTGTCGCATTTATATTTATTTCAAAAGCATTACTTTGCTAAGTTCTATTTTATTCAAAATCATTTCCTACCATTTCCTTTATCAAAATTACTAACTCAGTGAGATCTATAGTCCTCCCTCATTTCTTTTTAAACATAGATGTGTGTTTATCAACTAATACGAGTATTTGATTACACTTTATTGTGGAACATCCACGTTCGTAATATGTGTTATTTTAATCTTAACAAAATAATTGATTATTTTTTCAAATCGACGTAATTTATAAGAATCATATGTAAATGCAAAGATAGAGTTTTCACGTCTTTTGTTCAGTTCAATACATCCCCTCTTCTGTAAGAACGAAAGATCAAAGAAATCCTGACAAAGCGGATAGACAGAGTAGACATTTGTAGGGAAATATTTCGAATTTGAAACAAACACTGCGTTCATATGTGTATCTGGAAGTTCGCCCCTATAAATAAACGGTGAATTACATGAGAATTGATCGTCTTTATATACTAAATTATAATATGATTGTAGATTGTTATATATTATATATTGACTAGTTAGAAAATGGGCTCCAATTGCATCATTTATATCTATCATAGGTTGATAAAGCGGTATATTATCAATAATCTGCTTCAAAAACGGATGTTTAGATCTACAAAATATCACATTGTTAGAAAGAACATATGGTCTTTGTTCTTTTACTGAAACAAGTTCAAATGAACGTGCTGGAAGTACGCATGCGTACTTGTAAGTTATCCTTTTTAATGATCTAAGGCATTTCACTTTCATGTCACTGAAGACACCGCCAAACTCGTAAAGTAGTACATAACGAATTATGCTTGATCTGATTTCAAAATTTGCATAAGCATCCCAAGTGGGGATTAGTGATGGGTGTCTATCAGCTATAAGCTGCCGAGATGTTTCTTCTGTCCAAAACGAATACTTCCAGCTAGGATTGTAAAATAAGAAACTTTTTATATTTGTCACATATGATATTGGTATATTCAGATTTGTGTTGTATTGATGTAAAATGTGTGGAATTCTGGGAGTTTTTGTCGCCACGATCTGGAAATCTTCGTCCAGCTCCGGTTCAAATGGCGGATATTTGTTCGTCCTCACCCAGGAAGGTATTTCCACTGTAAAAATAATAACTGACTTAAATAAGAAAATGAATAGCATTTTTAACTTATTTGTCTGTTTCTATGATTATTATTTAATATGGGGTAAAAAGTTCACTGACAAAGGCAAGTAAATATTGAGTCTTTTGAAGGTTTCACTTGTGACACTACACTTAAAATATTTGTCTTTCAAGCAAGTGCTTCACTTTGTTAATACTTGTGGAATTCTATCTTTATTTGCTCTCCAGGTTTTGTTAAAGCAATGTTTTATTTATAATTTGTATTTTCAATGAATCTACAAACAGTCAAATGAATATGTCATAGTGGAAATTGTCATTTTTAAAGAGAAATGTATTGCAACTACACTACTTATACGAGGGTTTTTTCTCAGTTTTGTTTGTTCCTTTGCTTATACCTTGTAGATCAAAAGCCATAAGTTCTGAAACTATACCTCATGACTTATTTTTTCACATTAACAAACATCAAATATTTTGTTGTTTACATACTTCTATTGCCGATTTTTAAAATAGTCGTTACATAGAATGTCTCTGAGTGTTATCTATCACACATGAATATTGTACAAAATGAAATATTGGACCAAATATTACGGTGCTTCTTAATATTTTAAAACTTTTTAAAAGTTGTTGTTCTGTTCTATTCTATTCTGTTTAAGTGTTTTAGAGAAGAGCGTGTGGCGCATGTACACAATCATTGCTAAACTGTTCAAGAAATATACAAGTGTTTTTTTTTTCATTTCTTACATTTATTTTGGATGTATTCTCTATCAAAATTCAAGTAATAACTTTATAAACTACAGACAGTAAGTATATAGCATTTACACATTTTAATGATAATAAAACATAGCATAAAATACATAATACGCTTTAGCATATTTGAGCGGTGTCACGACAAAACCAACATTGTGCGATTGCGACCAGCATGGATCCAGACCAGCCTGCGCATCCGCGTAGTCTGATCAGGATCCATGCTGTTCGCTATCAGTTTCTCTACTTGTAATAGAGTTGATAAGCGAACAGCATGGATCCTGATCAGACTGCGCGGATGCGCAGGCTGGTCTGGATCCATACTGGTCGCAAACGCACTATGTTGGTTTTGTCATGACGCGGCTCATTTTTATGCTTAAATAAATAGTCAACATATTATACATGTATAGAAGGTTCTAACATGTCAAATCAAATTTAAGTAAATGAGTTCAACAAGATTTTGTTAAAAGCGAGCCACTTATAATTTAAAGGCTCTCAACTGAGGTTTTTTGACATGACTGGATTGAAAATATTTTTTTCAAGATTATTGTTCCATTTGATATTGGTCTAGACCAATAACGTGTGTGCAGAATTTCAAATCCTTCGCTTACTCCAGTTATCTTGAATAACAATAATAATTGTGAGAAATGACTCAAAAGTTAAAAGCATTGCTACGTTTTTTTACTCAACTCTAGTTAGAAATAGCACAAAAATATGACTTTTCAATATATTTCTGAGCATATTGCTTTTTATTTCTTGCATAGCTCTGTTTCAAGTGTCCCTGCTGATCTCTGTAAGAAGTTCATTATTATTTTTTTATTTTTTTTTATATTTTTTTAAGCTTTTGACTTCTGCACTTTACAGTGGAGTTCCTTTAAAAACAATTTAGATTAATTATATTAAATTTTAAAATATGCGACAACGTATTTGAGATTATTCTATCTTATTACCAAACGCATTGAAGTATTTAAAAAATATTTTTATTTTATTATTTACGTCCACGTCTGAACGCTGTTACGTAAATAAAGAAACACGTGACGGTTAATAATATAAGATAAACTGGCGGTGACAGGGGATGAGAAGGTGATAAATCACAAATTTATTTGAGAAATATTATTTACTTCATGTTAAACATGAAAAGATGTTTTGAATGCATTCATATTAGCTGCATAATAAAGTTATAGAAAACATATTTATTTATTTTTTAAGGATATACCGTTCAAGTGATTTGAATATAGTGTTGAAAGAAACCATTTTGATGGTGTTTTATTGCTAATTTGAATTTCTCTTAGATATCCTACGTATTTAAATTTCTGTCATTGCACGAACCCGTTCAATGCAAAACATCAATAAAAAAACAGAAAAAAACGTTATAATTAATAATAATAATAATAATAATAATAATAATAATAATAATAATAATAATAATAATAATATAATAATAATGATAATAATAATAATAATAATGATGATGATAATAATAATAATAATAATAATAATAATAATAATAATAATAATAATAATAATAATAATAATAATAATAATGATGATGATGATGATGATGATGATGATGATGATGATGATGATGATGATGAAATACACTATGAAGAAGAGAAGCTAACTTACCAAAGATTTGTAATAAAACTATTCACTAACTTACATTCAAATATTTTCTCGGAAACAAATCCAAATTGATTGTAGAATAATAAACAGTAACATGTTTATAATAGAGTATAACCGGGATACCCATTTTACCTCGCGGTTGACCATGCTTAAATCTAATCCATGATTCCCGTCTTGCATTTCGTTTCGGTAAGGCTGGTAGTTAAAATGGATGTATTTTGTATGTTCTTGTTATACTATATAATTATATATAGATATTGTTATTATTGTACTAAATTCATGAAAGGGTTATCTTTCTTTTTTACGAGAAAGATAACATATTACTACATGTATCTCAATGTATATATATACAAATTCTGATTGTAATTTAACGAGAAAATAATGTTTTTCAGATAACTAGTCTTAACAAATTTATATAAAAGTCATACTTTAAATGATATGATATGAAATTATTAAGAATATTAAGCTTTCTTATGTCATGCTTGACCTTCTCCAATGAAAAGTTTATGTAGATCTAATATTAATTTTGTTTGCTGTAGTATGCATGCTCACTTTGTATTGTACATGTATATATGTATGCTTGTATTGCCATCATGGGCGAATAGCCTTGTGGAATAAATGAAATAAACTCTAAAAAACTCTAAACTCCATAACAAGTTAACCCATTACCTGATATACACGCCTTTTAACGACCTTTTCACCCCCCTCCCTTTTTTTTGTTGTCTCAAATGGTGAAAAAATGCCATGTTTAGGCCCCCAACATTTGTTTTTGTTGAGAAATGTTGTTTAAAAAAGTGTCCACTTTTTAGGCGCCGCCCTCTATCCAAAAGATGCATCAAAAAATAGCACAAATTGCTCATGCAGTAAAGGGTTAATATAAAGTATAAGAGTGATCGAGGATTTATCTGGACACGACATGGATGCGGTATGAAACTTTGCTACTTCACTACAATCATATCTACATTCAGACTTTAAAACATTAATACCATTTGAAATCTAAAACAGGCCATAAATAAATAAATAAAAAATAACGCTAAATAAAATGAATAAATAAATAAAATATAATAAACATAAATGGTATAAATGGTATAATAAATACATATAAATAAATAAATAAATAAATAAGCAAAAAAATAAATAAATAAGCAATTAATGAATAAATAAATAAAACACATTGAATGAATTTAATAAAAAAATATATAAATTAGAGTCTTATTAATTAGTTAATTATTTAATATATTATAATAAGTAAATAAATAAAATATATAATTCTGACAGACCAGATAAGCATAATGTGATGTCACACTTGGTAAAATAAAATAAAATATTTACCTATGTAGCTCTCGAATAAATTTTCACTTATGATCAAGATGAAAACAATAAAGCTCAGAAATTGTATTAAACGGTAATTCCTTTTACAAAAGCGTTTAAACATATTGAAATTATTTTTATTTGTTTCATTATTTTAATATTTAAAATTGCCTATGTCTGAACGGATTAAATTGATCACCAATTACTATTTGTGTCAAACTGACGCAAATGTTTATCCGTTAAACTAAAATACAACAATTATTTGAACGCGCGATCCGATTTCATGCTAAAATATAGTACACAATACGTGTATATGCATGCATATGATAAACTTAGAGAATATATTTGTAACACGAACAAATAATTCTGTTTTATTGATAGAAAAATTTATGATATGTATAGTTTATTGTTTGTTTGACCAAAGTGATTCGTAACTGCCACAGACAGTTCTTATGACTGTCGTAAATGAAGGAGGACAAAAACGGTCATATTTCTTTTATTACGTGATCATGAAAGGAAGATTTAATTGATTTAGATTTTAACATTTCAAACACAATACCATCAAACAAAATGATATAACATTAATTCATTTCAATGATATCAGTTTTCTTTAGCAATGTTTTCTTCTTTTTTTTCTTTTTTTTCTTCACTTTGATTAAGAACATTGTGCAATATATCGTTTTATCTTATTCGTATCTCATCAATATTTTTTCTTTTGCTTAAGAAAAGCTGCAGATTAAACTTGATTAAATCGTACAAACAGTTTTTTTTAAAGGGATACACAGGCAAAATTTTCATTTCTTAGTTTTGAATTTTTCATCAATTATTATGTAAATGCCCTCAAAATGAATATATTAGACAGTCAATGGAACAAAACTTTTTTCCATATAAAGAATAAAATGGTGGTTTCCTAACTTGACCCGCGTGGGTCAGGTTAGAGCGATATGATTTCGCAATATTTGTCAAAGTGAACTCTGGAAACGTTGAAGAACATTTCAAATGAATGACATAGACTTGTTTCAATCATACAATATCCAAAATATCTTTAATGGTAACTTAAAGGGTTGGTTCAAGTCACCTGACTTGTTTTAAAACTATTTGGTGATTCTATTGGCGTCTAAATTTTGTTCAACATAAAAATTATATAGATATATTTATGTTTCAAACCCAACATATATACAATTCAAACAGAAATTCATGCTGAAACTTCAAGAAACGTCATTTTAGCCTGATTTGAGTACATAAGATCATTTTAATATTTTTGTCATTATTTTGCCTGAATAACCCTTTAAAGGCACAATATGCCTCAGAAGCAAATATGTTTTTTACTTCTTTAATAAGGGAACATATGAATTTAATAACGTTTAGATAATGGTTTAAGAGCATGTTAGATGCTTGTTACATGAAAAAGTAGCAAAAAATGTGAAATGATTCGTTACAAAAGAAGCATTATGTAAACAAAGTAGAATTTTCAGATACAGAACACCGTACCTACTGCCAAAAGGCAACACATGAAGTAAATGGTTAAGGTAATTGGCCAATGAGTAACTTTTGGGAAAATATAAAAGTACACCAAAAATATAAAACTTTTGAGAAATAATCATAAAAGCAATTCTAGGACGCAATGGACCTTAAAATTTAAAGTGAAAAGTTACTCCAAGAATAAAATTAAAACTAATGAATTTTAATTCTAGTATTGGTCAATATGTTTGAATATGTACATATGTAATCAAACGTGAACATATTGATCTTTGTATTTTTTTCTTTGTTCTTTTTTCTAAATATCTATGAGTATTTTAATTTATAACGTAATCACCAAGGAACAAACGTATGCATCCACTATATCACTATATATGTATATATAAACAAAATTGATGAGAATTTTGGTTGCAGACTTATACATGTAGCAACATACTGAAAAACAACATGGTACAATAATAATATCCTGATACAACGGATTAATGTAATTTTCTTGTAAGGGTGCCGGCAATAACGGCCGCATTTATCAGGTCTTGGTATGATGTGTTCAATTTAAGGCATATTATGCACAAGAAACGGATTTTCCTTCTTTAGAAAGGACAAACATGAGTTTTAATAATGGTTTTGGAGCATGATAAAAACTTTCATCTGAAAAAAAGTATCACTGGATGTGAAATATGTAGAATAATTTGTCATAAAAAGAAGAAAAATGTAAACAAAGTAATATCTTGACTTCTATACAAAATACTTAAACACTGAAATTATTTTAATTGCAAAAAAGCAACAGAAGCAAAAGATGGTTCAAGTAGCCAATTAGTAACGTTTTAGAAAATTTATCAGGCAAGACACTAAAAATAACCAGCTTAGGAAAAAAATAAAGGCATTTCTGGGGCAGTCAAATGGCACAAATCCATAGATTTCTTTATGATGAGAGATAGACTTTGTTGGAAATCGACTACATATGAACAACGTTAACATATGAACAACGTTAACATATGAACAACGTTAACATATGAACAACGTTAACATATGAACAACGTTAACATATGAACAACGTTAACATATGAACAACGTTAATATATGAACAGCGTTAACATATGAACAACGTTAAAGATGAGACGACAAATAAGATGTGGTATTTGTAAATGTGCTCAGTGTTTCATACAGCATGTATTGGTTAAATAATTTGTACACCTCGTCTAACATTTACAGTCCTATCAAATAGAATATAGATATCTTTCACATTATGCATGTATAATTATGTACTATTCGATTTACCATAAATGTTTTGGTGTTTTTATTACGTATGTTGATTATTGTAACGTCGACGTTTACGTAACGGAGGTTACGTCTTAGTTTTGTATGATTTTATATCTCTGTTTATCACACACACGACTCCGTAAAAACTGGTATTTTACGGCCGTGCATATATTTTGACGTGACGTCATTTTCGTTTAATAAACATAGCGTTAAGACGCGTTAAATGTTTGCGTTATACTATACAGTAGGCACGTCAATAAGAATTGGGTCTTTTTCATTTCAAACGGTTTTAGCTTTTGTATGTGAGAAATAGAATATTAAATTCGTGTAGATTCAATACTAAATTTATTGAACTCCTTAAATAAAGTTATATAACGCTCGCCCGAGGCTCGCACATGATTCTATTCAACTTTTTCAATAAATTTAGTATTAAACTTAAACTTATTCAATACCTCCTATTTATCTAATTCTAAAATCTAACGTACTTTAAAGGGTTTGGTATTTATTCATGACTTTGTCCAGGGATATTGATATGCATTCGTGACTTGCCCTGCACAAACATAATATACTTTTTACCAATTGTAACCCTGTGTCGTTCTACTTCTAAACTTGTTGCTATCCAATTAAAGAAGTATAATTAACAGATGACGTGGGTAACATATCTGTAGTTAATCTTTCTTTCAAGTACGTGCAGCCATAACTTATTGTGCAACTCTTGCCGCCAATAAAAATCTACTTAAAAAGAAACTTGATACTATCCTTAAGCCCTACAAAATGACTCCGAAGTACATTTGCAGGTCACCTTCATGTTTATCTGTTATAAAGGTAACGAACTGAGGGTTTTTTTAACTTGTTTATGAAAAAGTCACTAACGACCTATTGTGTTCTGGCTTTTTGTACAATATACGAATGCAATACACAGTTCGGCATTTTTATAAAAAAAATTTTACTAATATTTTAAACTAAAGATTATATTGCAACCTACGTCAAACGGTTTTGTGTTCGCGTGCTAATTCATTAATGCCTTAAGAGACGCTTTCAATGTCAACAGGTAGAGCTTACTTACCCGGCATCAGTTCACTTTCCTGCAGTGTGGTCTATGTCTTGAGGTTTAAGTTGTTCGCATGTATGACATATTGAACTGGTTTCAAACAGTCCTTATCATTTTCATGCAATAATTACTTATACACTCAAACAGTTTATCAAATTGTCAAAACTGTCACCTGTATAATATAATCATAATCAAAGTATCTCTGTAGAAATTTCAACGTTTAACTTTTTGTTCAGAATGTTGCTTATCATTTTATTTTATTTTTAGATTAGTTTTTTTTAATTATTATTTGATTTGATTATTCGAACCACTGGCATTATCACTGAAAAGAAAATCCACAACAAAACTTTGTTTAAACCAAAACCTTTGTTTAAAGGCACATTTTGCCTGAGAAACCCATATTTGTGTAAGCTTTAGAAATGCTAAACATGTTTGATAATGTTTAATAACTTTTAGAAATACAAGTTATAGAATTTCAAGGACATAATGGGCCGGAGATAGTAATGTTTGGATTCACATATAATCAAATTATTTTAGAAATTTAAATGGCGTAGTCCACTATGCAACTTTGCAGCAATATTTGGTTTTAAGTTACATGAAAATATTTTAGAAATTTTAAGGGCATAACCCGCTTCAAAACTTTTACAGCTAATGTTTGGATTTTGTTTTGGAGCTGTAAACAATATATGAGCCGTGCCATGACAAAAACAACATTATGCTTTTGCGACCAACATGGATCACATTATGCGTTTGCGACCAACATGGATCACATTATGCGTTTGCGACCGCATCCGCGCAGTCTAATCAGGATCTATGCTGTCCGCTAGCAGTATCACTACTTGTAATAGGGTTTGTAAGCGAACAGCATGGATCATGAACAGACTGCACGGAAGCGCAGGCTGGTCTGGACCCATGCAAGTCGCAAACGCATTACATGGCGCGGCTCTCATATCTATGGCTCTCCAAAAATGTTGCATGCATACTAGGTTTTCTTTTTTGCGTATTCGAGTGAATAATGTTCAACACAAGGTGAATATACATGATGAGGCTTATTCTTTGTTTTGCAAGTTAGATCGAAATATATTTCATAGAATTATTTTTTTTAATGATCAGGGCATGATATGCGCTCTCATTCATGACGTCATGTCCTTGTTAACTTTTTTTTAATTACCACTTAATCATTATAAATGATATGTGCATATATTCATGTGCTATTCGTAATCAAGCACTTTTTACTCACAAAAGCGTGTATTTCTGACAATTATTCCACTGTTTAAATTATATTTGAAAAAAAACTTGTATATTCTTTTCATCGCATTCAGCATACTGAAGAATCCTATCGATTTTACATGTATTATTTCCCTTAATTATGAAGCCAAGTGCTTAAAAAGAAGTTGCTTCCCTTTACACCGTATCAAAAACGCACGTTATCGGCAGTTTCCGATGAGCACGCTTTGTTTTGTTGGACAGTTGATATAGTCTTGCTACTATGACGATAGTATTTATAATTTTTCAAGTGAAATCATCGATTATATAATTCCACTGAAAAGCATGTAATCAATTTAGGTAATCGAATGACATTCCTATTGAATTAAAATTTGGCCTCCAGGACGATGTACTAGAAGTCTAGTGATTTTATAGGGTTCTATTGTACGTCTTATTCAAAATATTTTGTTTAACAAATCTAAATTTGAATTGCGTTTTTATTGGCTTCGTAAAGTGTTGTGACGCGATAATGCCCGAAACTATATACATGTATATATAAAGGATTAACGTCTGTTTGTCAGTTCTAATATGTTAAACATAGAAATATTAAAAACATAGAAAAAAGAAAACATTAAGAAGGACCAAAACGACATGATTGAAAATATAAAACTGCAAAGCAATGGAAACGTTAAACTCTATTTAAACGTTCAATAATTTGCAAATATAAAAAAATCGGTTTATTTGCTGGTTTAACACAAGGGGATGATTTTCATCCCTGTTCCTTTACGATATTCATTAACAATCTATATTTAGATTATCTATCTGAGAGAGGTCAATGCACGTTATGTGTTGATATTATTATTAGCTCATCTAGCGATGCTGATTTATTCAATAAGACTCCGTCTTCTTAATACATGTTTATGAATCATTTTCATGGAAGCAATAAAAAAAATATTTTAAATTGAAGATAATTTTTGCTCTTTTTTATTATCTATTTTATTTTTCTTTCTTTTTTTATGGGTGTGTTAATTCTACCAACACTGGCAATATGAACATCACTCTGTTCAAATTATTCAAACCAAAGCAAGCTTCCTGTTTTGTAGTATAAATTTATTTTATTATTTTATATACATGCATATTTATTACTTTTTCTATTGAATAAAGGCGTAAAGTGAGTGATTGTACGCACAAAGGCTAAGATATTTTCTATGCATTGAAAGTTCTCTATGCGAAATGCTATCGTTAAATTATGTAATATTTTGCATATTTATTTAAAGTTTTACCCGAGATTGCTATTAAATATACTTCTGAATAAACTATAATCAGAATTTGTATGCGCACAGCTATAGATTAAAAATTCTGCTTCTCGTTATACTGAGATTTGAGGCATTCACGAATTAAATTAAAAAAAAAAAAACTAAAAAAAAATCTTTGGAGATAGTGATGTTTGTTGGACAATTTCCTCTTCCAACCAATGCACTTTAAATATAAATCATATTAATTTTAGAATAGGTTTTATCATGTGCGGTATGTCGTAGAATTTGTTTCTGTAAGTTATTGTTTGTTTTTTGTTTGTTTGTTTGTTGTTGTTTTTTCTTGTTTTTTTTTTATATTATTTTTTGGAGAGGGAAGGTGTTATTTATTTGTATTATTATTATTATTATTATTATTATTATTATTCAAAATTTAAAGGTTTCTATTTTTCCGTTTTTTTTAGGTTTATATAAATATATAAATTTTACAGAATTTTTACTGCCATGATTACTACTTTTACGGGTTTAAAGTATTTTTTTAAAATAATTTTAATCTCTTTAATTGTACACCTCGTAATGCAAAATATTGCCTGAATTTCATAACTAATTTAAAAAGAAATCTTTTACACAGTTTAGCGGAGCTATATAAAATAGAAAATATGTGTAGGATTAAAAATATATATGCGTAATTACGCGACCAATAATCTTAGAGTTTGGGAGGGGGCGGGGCAAATAATCAGACGTCGGTGATCACTATGGACACTTGGATTTCTTCTCACAACAAGGCCCATAAATAAAAAATGTTTTGCAAGATAAAAAATGAGGATCAAAATAAAATCAAAACTATCTTTCAGAGTTACTCGGCCATTCAGGCCCTGTATAAAGTCATGTTCTTTTATGACATTGTTTATCAAAAAGTTAGAATGAAACCAAAGCAAGCAAATGATTACAAACAATAATAATAATAAATTAATTATACATGTAAATATTGACTTCTGAAGTTAAACATTCACTATAAATACTTTTTTTAAATATACATCAATCAAAATAGTGTTCGAAGGTCTCCGTCTGGACATAATTTGTCGTAAATAGTCTAATATATCTGAGCATGTTTTACAATATCTTTTATATGCATATACTCTTGATGTGGCCAGATTATATCCGATATTCGAGTTACATAGCTGTGAATCCAGTGATGTTCGGCATAAGCGTATTTCGAACGAAAGCTCATGTACCGTTTGAAAAGTTCGGGACAGGCACGTTTTTGGTTGAAATTCAACGAATAGAACAGAAAACAATCTCTGAACATACGTAACACACGGTAATTGTAAGTATCCAAAGTGTTGAAGAAATATTTTGAATTTGCAACGTATACCGCTTCACTGTGATCCTCGGGTAAAGCACCTTTATAGAAAAAGGGTGAGTTACTCTGGGGTTTTAATTCTTTATAAAAGTCGTTATAATGCTGCTGAAGATTATTATATTGAAGGAAGTTGCTAGTAACAAACGTGGGTCCTGCAACGTCGATTTTCTCCCTCAATACCTGATATAGAAATAAATTGTCTATCATCAGCTTGAAAAACGGGTGTTTAGGTCGGCACATCATTATAGCATTGGACATGAAATAGTGTCGGTTGTACGTTAATACTGACATTTCAAAAGGCTCTGGGGAGAAGATACAGGCATATTTACTTGTGACCCTCGCCAGGGGTCTTAAACATTCAAAGTCTAAATCTGCATAAACTCCCCCAAACTCATATAAAACCACATAACGTAGTGCGTCTGCTCTGTTAACAGGATCCTCATATGAGTCCCAGACTGGTATAAAATCCGGTCGTTTCTCCAACACCAGCTTCCGGGCCGAATCATCAGTCCAAAAATAGTATTGCCAGTCTGGATTTGTGTCAGTAAATGACTTTATGTAGCCTTTGTAGGATGCTTTAACATGTTCTGTTTTGCTCGTCTGGTGTAAAATATGAGGTATAATGGGCTCAGTTTCGGTACCAGCAGGGAAGTCTGTGTCTATTTCCGGTTCAAAAGGTTGACAATCTTTATAGGCAGAAATCATCAGGGCTGAAAATAATAGTTACAAAACAGATCTGAAATGCTCAATTTCCAATATTTAAAAAGGTGTGCTATCATTTTGGCATCATCGTACCATGCAGTAACTTCCCAGGGGAGGTTATCGCATTGTAAAATCAGAAATAAACATTACTAAGGAGAAAGTATAGTTTAGATCGCAAGTTGCTTTGCTGTTATATTTTTACATAAAGTTTTTCTAATATATACATTTCACAGTTTAAAATGGATAGGGACCATCGTGTTGATTCTTCAACATTGAGATGCCGATGATCAGTCTCTATCCCGGCTTTATAATAGTCGTTACCGCCAACGATATTGCGGATGAAATTTATACCAAAAGCTCATATAACTTATATTGTTTGGGCCATTTCAGAAAAAAAAACTGACTTACGGTATGATCATCTTAATGCATTACCTTCGCTCTGAAGAGTATTCAAATAGGCTAGAACTACTGTTTACTGCACTGAAATTTAGTGCCTTTGGTTCAAACCCCAGGATGTTCAACTTTTTTTTATTTCTTTTTTTTATGAATTTATTATTATTATTTATAATGTTTTGTATAACTCTAGAAATGAAGTTAAAAACTACTCTTTGAACATTTAAATAAAAAAGCACATACACGTATTCATCAAGTTTAAGCTTGGTTTACTTTTGCTATGTATGGTGGCTGATTTGTGCCATTTCGCGTTTTCGCCCCGCGACCCCGCCAAGCGAAAAGTCGAGAATTAACAAGTTAAAATGGCGGGGGTGCGGAGCGAAAATACGCTAATTAGCGGGGGCGCGGAGCTAAAAGTCGAGATTTAATTGTAAAACCGCGGGGCCGCGAAGCGAAATATTTATTGTTATAGGGCGCTAATAAGCGTGCTGTTCTTCGCGCCCCCGCCAAATTATTCTTAAAAACCTCGACTTTTCGCTCCGCGCCCCCGCTAATTAGCGTGTTTTCGCCCCGCGCCCCCGCCGTTTAATTTCTTAAATCTCGTCCCGCGACCCCGCGGGGCGAAGTTTTGTTTCTTAAATTTCGCCCCGCGCCCCCGCTAATTAGCGTGTTTTCGCCACGCGACCCGCCGTTTTATTTCTTAAATTTCGCTTCGCGACACCGCGGGACGAAGTTTTATTCTTAATTTTCGTTTTCCGGTTTTTAGTGGGGCATGCGCAGTTTGTTTTACACAATGTGTTAACACAGGCAAGAATGCATTCTATCAGTAACTTTGTGACATTTTAACAGGTTAAACAAAAATTCAATACAGTATAGATACCGATTAACTTTTGATTTAGAGATATTTTCTTCTATTATTCTGTGGAAATCGAAAACACGAAAATTAAGAAATAAAAACTTCGGCCCGCGTGAGCGCGGAGCGAAATTTAAGGAATTAAACGGCGGGGTCGCGGGGCGAAAATACGCTAATTAGCGGAGGCGCCGAACGAGGTTGCAAGAATGAATAAAACCGCGGAGGCGCGGAGCGAAAAGACGAGATTTAATTACAAAAACGGCGGGGCAGCGGAGCGAAAACACGCTAATTAGCGGGGGCGCGGAGCGAAAAGTCGAGTTTTTAAAGAATAATTTTGCGGGGGCGCGAACAACAGCACGCTGATTAGCGCCCTATAACAATAAATATTTCGCTTCGCGGCCCCGCGGTTTTACAATAAAATCTTGACTTTTCGCCACGCGACCCCGCTAATTAGCGTGTTTTCGCTCCGCGCCCCCGCCATTTTAACTTGTTAATTCTCGACTTTTCGCTTGGCGGGGTCGCGGGGCGAAAACACGAATGGCACAAATCAGCCACCATAGCTATGTGACCAGTGCAGAGCATGATCAGCTTTCGTGCTGTCTGAACAAGTTCTGCACTGTTCGTTATTAAGTCAATAAAAGTACATATTTTAAAGACGATGAATGATTTTGTCAAGATTGAAAGATGGAACAGTCCATTTGATATATTTAGCATGGAAATGGTGAAAGTATTTTTTTCAAAAATGCGTCATTACATAAAGCAAATTAAGTTTAAAGGCATGAGTTAATCAAAAACTGAAATATTTTTTCTTTTATTAACTGTCTAAGATCCATACTATGTTGACACCGGGGCAAAATATTTAAACGATATTTTCACAATAGACCATCTTTGTAGATTTATTGAAAACCGATTTCCTCTAACAACAAAATTATACTTCTTTCAAATCTCATTGAAATCATATCCCAACCCTTCGACAGGTCTTCGTTGCGATGAGTAACGGGGCGAAATAGATGATCTGATTTTAATGAGATTGGAAACTAGCTAAATATTTGAAAGGACCGATTTAAATAAGTAACAATTATTGAATGATTAGGAATGGTATTGACAATTAAATTTTGACATCTTGTTACAAATTTATATTCAAAATTTAAATGATTTATTGTACCATATATGTTTTTATCTACCAAATTGTTTTATTGATATTTACACTCTCCATCTCTAAATGAAACTCAATGCTATATATCAAATTCTGTAGTGATGATGTACTATGTATAATATCCAAATATGTTTTATTCTATGAATAATCAGTAAAACCTGTCTAATATATCAAAATAAGATAAAAAGAAACTCGTTCATTTCTTATTTGCAAAACAATCACATCATAAAGAGTAATATCTGTCTATTATTAAAATAAAATAAAAAAAAACATACATTTCTTATTTGAACCAAAAAACAACAACAACAACAACAACAAAAAAAAAAAAAAAAAAAAAAAAAAAAAAAAAAAAAAAAAAAAAAAAAACAACAAGTTAAGCGTCGTCATAGTAACGATAATAACGTGAAAAAAATACTATTTAATATTCAAATTAATCAAATTGTAATTACATAAAATAACGCCGCATACTCACCAACGTGAAACATGAACAGCAGAAGGCCACTCACGATTAAGATCCGACAGGTTGATTTAGAAATATAAATCCTGCCTGTAAGCAACAAACATCTCCGCCGGCTAATCATTTTTTTTTTCAAAATGTACACCTGAAAAGTATTTTTTTTGTTTTCAAATATTATATACCAAAACCTGACCGTCGTTCACAAATTTTTTATATTTTTAAAATAAAGCGATCAGTTACAGCAATTCTTACAAAGAAAATCTTTCCATTTATTCAACATATTTCTGTCAAACCATTTAATCTGTCTCAAAAATTCAATAATTCAATAATTTATTTCAATAATAATTAATAATGTCTCAAATATTGTCTTCTCACGGCCCATAAATCCCGACCTCAGGATTATCTGTGCTTGCATATATTAAACATGTACTATCCCTTAGTCACATTTAACTTGGAATCAAGCACATTTGTGTACACATATATTCTACCAAAATAAGTAAAATAAAACAACCTTTAACTCGATCTTTTCGTAATTATGTAACCAAAAATACCATATATCGTAAACTAAACCGGCGACTATCCGATAATGGCGTACCGCCCGTTTTAACTGCTATCCAATAGAACACTCCTATCCTTGCTATTTAACATTATTGTACAATAGAAGAATTATTAGAATATTGTGTTTAAAACAATAAATATGCACGTAGATGTAATATTTCAAAATAGACTAAAGAAAAAAATCGTGACAACCACCTAGCGACTGTATAAAAATATTTTGTTTTGAACTAAATTTAGACATTAATTTTTGCTGAATGCTACCTACTGCAATATCATTGACTTCTTATTGGGTTAAAATGATAGCCTTTATACACTGGTTTTGATCAAGACTTGACTTTTTGTTTATTCAACGAAATGTTTGCTTTCAGGCGAACCTATATATGAAATTTTTTTATATTTGAATATAAAACACGTTTAAGGTTGTTGTTTTTTCAAAATGACAGTAAAGAAGCGTTCCAAAATATATAAAAAAATGAATATAAATAAATAAATAAATGAATATAAAAATAAATAAATAAATAAATAAATAAATAAATAAATAAATAAAATGTCCAAATATTTCAGCATTTTACAACATTCACAATTTAATAAAGTAAATAAAATATATCACTCTTTTTTTTTCTATCAAAATGTTATTAATACTTATAATTCTACATCAAAATGTCCAATGCAAGATTTATTTTAAATTAAAATATCAGACAGGCATATGGTACGAAAATAATTACTCTAATCATCAACATATACATGTATATTTTTGAAGCAGCAGTTTTTTGTTGTTGTTGTTGTTGTTGTTGTTGCTGTAGATATCTTTACGCATTTTTTTTTCGCACTTCCTTTGATGAGTGATAAACCATGGCATATTATTAATGTATCTTTTCATAGTATACTATAAAAAAAATTGACGGTCTCTCTTTACCATAATATCAGTATCATTCCGCATCAATAATTTTCAATAGACTAAGTATGAAAAATATGCATATTATTCGTACATGTCCGAAGAGTTATTTAGTACTTTAGCATTTAATATACACATATAAATGTGTGAAGTGTTGCTATTTTTTACTTGTACTTATTTACTAATGTAAACATATGAATTTCGTATTCTATCCAAAAAAAATAATTTAGTTTATTCTGTTCTGTTCTGTTCTGTTCTCAGTTAATGATACGTTAATTACATAAATCTGTGAATTGGATTCCGATTTATAGTTTATAAATAAATAAATAAAAAATAAATAAAAAATAAATAAATAAATAAATAAATAAATAATAAATAAATAGATAAATAAATAAATAAATAAATAAATAAATAAATAATACGAAACAGCGAACTATCGGAGGAAAACAACGAAGAGATGAACAAATAAATCCTAATCAATCAATCAATCAATCAATCAATCAATCAATCAATCAATCAATCAATCAATCAATCAATCAATCAATCAACCATAACATGTAAGTGATTTTTTGCTATTGAATATATGATCTTTGATTTATCAAACTTAGTTTTGCAATATTTTCTGATTATCTTAATTTTAGATAATTTGTATTTAATCAATCCAAAACTAAACAATACAATACAATAAATACAATGCAATGCAATACAATACAATTTAGTTTATTTAGCATTACACAATTTACAATGTTTTTAGCATACAAAGTATACATATACGAAACATATGCATTTATATGTGAAAGTGATACATTTAACAAGTGATTGTTTATGGACCAATACAATGAACAAGAGTCATAGTAAATGATGTAATTTATACTTACTTCTTGCAGTGATAAGCTTTCTAATCCTTTTATATAAATGCCTTGAAGCTGATATACGTCGTGTCAAACTTTCAAAATGGAGAAATTGAAGTCACTTTGTTATGCAGTACGGTTATAATTCAATCCTAAAACAAGCAATTTCAATTATTTACATTTCCTGCTGTACAAAGAAAAGCAAAAAAGTTTACCGAAGCCGTTTCACATCCGAAAAATTACCAACATTATTGAAACTTGTGTTTACTCTAAACGTTGCAAATTTGATAATATTAAAAAAAAAAACACATCACGTATTCTTTATCAATAAAATATTTGAAACACCGTCAGGGCAATTGTTAATAACAAAATTTTCATACTTCTTTGAGATATTATTTACTACGACATAAAAAATGGATCAGACATTTTAGTATCTCTATATTGCCTTTTATGAGGCTTTCTATGAAGTTGTTTTTTTTGTAACTTCCTGAAAAGCTTTTTATATAAAATGCGACAGCTCATGACTGAGCTTGTATGCTATAAATATTATATCTATTTATAAATATTGCATATATCATATGACATTAACTTGATTTCATATCTATCATTTCTTAACTTTTACTTAAAATCCGTGAATCAATATGAAGTAATAGAGGGAGTGTTGAAAGTGACCTCTCTATGTTAATGTTTAAGCTCACATATCCAACTTTAGTTAAGAACGACACACAGACAGAGTAATAAGGAAAGAGGCTTTGTTTGAAGAGTATCAGAGCACTATTGACACGGTCATGTAAATATAGTCGCCGTTGTAAATCCATACAAGTAAAATACTCTAGAAAACTGGATTGGACAAAAAAGTTGGAAGGACATATATTTCGACATAACAGAAAAAAACAACAAATTCTTTACCATTCTAGATGAAGAGCACCACAAAATCTTGTGTTTTAAAGTCTGATGTAAATAACTATTTATTATTTATTCTATTGCCAGCAGGGATAAATTTAGGCGAGCTTGTAAAAATGTACATGTACGTATAATGCATTGAAGGGTTGCCCAGGGGCTTTCATACACTATAAACTTAAGGAGTAAAGATTGATTGATTGATTGATTGATTTATAAATCTTCTAATTAATTATCAGAAATATTGCTACAATACTTAATTTTTGTGTGTTAATAATTTATAAATTATTTTCTTGAAATGAAAGTAGCATGAAGGTAACAAGAGGTCTGAAAACTTTTTGTGTTTGTTTTTTGGTTTGTTTTATGCCTAGTTTTTTGTCGAAATACACACATTTATGAATTTCAATAGAACAATAGTGTTCTTTTCAAGTTTAAGTGAATGAAACTGCAAACTTCTTCAAATATTTATAAATGTTAGTGTTTTTAAAAATATTCTTTGAAATTTCCATAAGGAAATTCGGCAAGATAAAAAACCCATGCAGACAAAATAAGACCATCATAGCATGATTTTGAGTTACGTGGCCTTGAATCAGTTGATTGTAGGTGGATTTATTGACTATTTTACAGACGAAAATGGTTTATTTTGGTTCGATTTAATGTCGCACCAACACAGTATAGGTCGTATGGCAACTTATCAGCTTTACTAATTGAGGAAGACCACAGGTGTCCATCTGTACGTTATTTCAGTCACAAACGGGCACTCGAGTAGAACGACCTTCGTTCCATAATCTAGCTGGCGGGAAATGTAATATATACAACAATTTAGACACGGGCCAACTATTAGAAATGAAATTCTGAAGGACACCCAAACTGTGTATATTATGTTTGCTAAATGTAACTCGTAAACTGAATATGTTATTTTAATTGTTCCATATGTTTTAACCCAACTGATTGAAAGGGTGATTTCCCGTGAAATGAGTACCCCCTAGATTTCAGAGGCTTTTTGTTATAAATGGCAACTGACACGCATCAAATTAATTTATATATTTACCACAGTGAAATATAAAACCGAACATAAAACTACGATAGAAATATCGTAATAGTCTGAAAAAGATTATATCTACCCTTAAAAGGCACAGTATCAAAGCTCTTTAACGTCAAAAAGATCAAAGATCAAAATACATGTTACAGGTATATTTAACTATCTATTACCGGTATGTATAAAAGCGCTGGAACACTACAGATTAGTCATTATTCATCGGTACTGTAATCATCATGAAGCCTCATGGACCGAAAACGAGACGCTAGCGATAGTTTACGAACAGAGTTCGGAAACTCTCGCTACGCAATCAATATCTGCTAACTTGCGTTCTTCGGGACAAATAAAATGTTTTAGTTTAAACATATTTATTTTAGCTCGATTGCGAAACAAGTTTATACAATTTATATCAATCACTTTCGAGTCCGCTTCCCGGTACCAACCAGTACTGGTGTCATATAAGGAATCATGATCGTGACCCGAGAAGGGCTCCAACCCATGAATCCTGGGTTGAGAGGCAGACACCTTTACCAATAGGGCCACCGCACAACTAATAGTTAAACTGAACTGTAAAATGTATTGCAAATGAAAAATATGTCCATTTATGTCGTTTATCTTTTAAAGACTGAAACACTCTCGTAAGACACACATATATATACTACTAGTATATATATATATCAGTAAAAAGGGAAGAAATAGAATTCATTTTGTAAACCGAATTGGAATCATTGAAAATAATACATTTGATTTGTAAAAGTATTTGTACATGTATCTGAAAAGTAAGGCAATATTTTTATTATGTCAAGTAGTCCGGTATTATTATACTTTAAGCATTAAAGAAAACAATTACACTCCCAGTTTGATATGTTCTTAAATTCTCAAAAAATCTTTACAAATGTCTAAACCTTTGTGAAAACATCGTAAAAGATACATGTAGTTAAAAATCTTGAAGGTAAAAATCTTGAAGGTAATAAGGTGATAAATGAAAAGCTTTCAATTTGAATTAGACAATTTCCATTAGGCATGAAGGTATCATGCGCAAGGTAGAACCGTTATGATAATATCTATGTTGATGAAAGACAGAACTAGGCCAAAACAAGACCTAGAAGGACATTTGTTCGATACATCCAAAATATATAAAACATTCACATTGCTTTCCAAATATTTGTTTTAACTCAATATAGATTTAAAAAAAGATACTAATTTAAATATGTTAAGTTGAAAAGGAAATAACAAAGAAAGGATCAGTCATTTATATTAAATTATGTTTGGACAGTTACAAAGAAACTGAAGACGGTATAGAAAGAACTTCATATAATTTATACACAAAAGCAAAAGAGAATAGACTGGTTCCCTTCGTACTTGGATGGGAACCATACTAGGACAGGAAACCAGATTATAGAAATGAACTTCAACAATAGAAGTTTTATTTAAGACTTAAGCATACAGCTCATCGTCATAACATAAATATTATAACCCCTCACTTTTTTCGTAATGCTAATTTCCCATAGGCCTCTGGGAGTTATTTTTACTGTTAATGCAAGTGTACCACGTGACTAAGAATTTTGTACTGTTACATAGGTAACAGTATTTTTAACAGTATAAAATCTGGTCACGTGGTATATTTTCTAAATAAAATGAAATAAAATGGTCGCCATTTTTCTCTCGATTCATTCTTATTTTCGACGATAGGACATCGCCGAAGTAACTATTACTCCCATAAAATTTAGTTCTTTGCACACTAGAGTTCCTTTCGCGTATAAAATATCTTTTTGTTCAAGAATAGTCAAAAGGAAACATCCGTTTTCAACGGAAGTATTTGTAATGTGAACAATTTTATGTCAAACAGGAACATGCAGACGATTAAAGCATGCAACAAAAGATTATTTAACAATTTTAACCAGTGAAACGTTACAGATAGAGTTGGTGGACAGACATCTGTAGGATATCATCGTTATTTTCTAAATGCACTTTGTCAAAAACCATGCGAAGAATATTCTGGATACAGAACGATCAGATTTCACAGATAATAACCTTATAAATGGGTTAGTGTTTTGTTTTCTAAATAAAACACAGCTTATTTTATGTTTATGACTTGTAGATATCATCACTTGCCTAAAGAATAAAAGAAAAACAGCTTCTCAAGTAGGCAAACAGTACACTTAAAACTTGCAAGGTAAGGGCAGTTTAGTTATTGCTTCTCTTGGTTTATTTTTGTTACAGTTAGATTTAGTTGACAAATTCAGATCATCACAGTATTTGTTCGGGGTAATAAAATAAATAACACATGGGTTTGTGGGTAACAGTAAAAATATCACCCCTCGTATAAATACTGTTACCCTCGGCTACGCCTCGGGTAACAGTATTTTCCTCGGGATGATACTTTTACTGTTACCCACAAACCAATGTGTTATTTATATAATACACACAAATCACATAAATTATAAAAAAACTTTACAACAAATATTTGTCTAAATTTAACGAAAAGAAATGAAAACTAACACAACTCATGGATATGTAAATGTTTTCACTTGACCATTGTGCAGGCTATAGACGGCCTTTAACAGGTAAATATCATTTCCTCAATCATTTGTTGTCTTTTAACACCTTTTTGTAGATAAGACTATCTGTCATCAAGCCAGGGTGTTACCTGGACATATCTTGACCTAGTCAAAACATAAAAGTTGCATATTAGAAAAATTCAAAACAAAAGTGTCACTCCTTCAGATGAATTATATTATATATATGAAAATAGTGTTACTGTCAAAATTGGCCAATCAAAACAAAGCTTTTCCTAGAAATACATTTAAGTCCTCTTCCCTGTTGTAGATGTACATTATCAGCTAAGTTATCATGGAGTTAACAGAATATCAGCATCTTGTTCAATTCATTAATTCTAACTATAGTGCATATCCAGAACATCTACAGGACCATTCTTCAAAGGCCCTTAAAAACAAGAGAGACAACTTCAAGGCAAAGGCAAAGAAATATTTTGTGAAAGGTACAATAATCTCACAAGCTTTTATACTTGTTATTTTACTTTGCAGAAACCATACACATTTTTGCATATGTAAAACTAAAATTTAAACTAAATGATTAATGAAAGGTAAAGAAAATTGATATAGGAGACTATAATGTGGAATATTATCTAAAAGAAGTTGAATTTTATTGAAAACATTTAAAAAATACAGCAACATAATAAAATGAAAGTAACAAAAGTAACATAAGTATATGGGTGCAGTTGATTCATAATTAATTTTTCTAATTCATTCATTTATTTATATATATAATCAATTGTTTTCATATTGTTCGTTGTTTTCTAGTTACTAGTTGACTAGTGTCTGAAGTTTCTTGTATATTATCTGTATAAAAATCATAAATGCATTTAGTTTAATTGG